ATAAGGTTTATGCACAAACAACTTGAATGCAGAATTCACAATCTCAATCAGACTCCAAAAGCTGACTAGAAACCCATGCAACAAACCAAAACTTTGCAAAACTAAATCGTAATAAAACCAACACTCAAGCACGAACCAGCAATCACTTAGAACTGGAATAAAAAACAGAAGAGAAATCAACGATCTCACCGTGCTAGAAGAGAGACCCAATCAATCGAGTAGCAAAATAGGGGATGAAATCCAACGAACCCTAATCCCCAAAAAAGCCAGGGCAGAGCCGACCAATTCCTTTTTCAAAGAACAAAAAATTGTGTTGGGCTTTGGAGATCTTGAGAGAAGCAGTCGTAAGAGAACCCTATCATTCGTTTTTAACGTTCCTATCAAAACCTAAGACAAAACTTTTTCCTCTTTTTTTTGAATTAAAAGAAAGCCTAAGACAGTAGTCTAAGCATGTCTAGTGGCATCGTCTTTTTATGCATCGACTGCTTCTAATCGAAGAAGATCAACAAGCTCATCAGGGGGAGAGTCAAAACGAATCAAACTGAAGTGATTCCAGGAGGCAAGCTTTTCCATCTTATCTGTAATCTTGTTCTTATTCCTGCTTATCCATTGGACCTTTGTTATCCAGCATCCATACCTTCTTTGCTTTAGGATTACGCGCACTAAAGGAATGTGACTGTCAATGGCAGCACTATCTTCGACCAGCTTGACTGCTCTATTACAGTCTGATTGTATCAATAATCTGAGAACCCCAAGGCTCCTTATAATGAGTAAACCTTCATAGATGCTCCAGAGTTCTACGTGGAGGGCCGATGTTATCCCTATATTCTTTGTAAAACCTATAATCAAGTCACCAATGGAGTTGCGAAACACACCACCAATCGAACCTTGCCCATCAAGTGTCGCAACTGCACCATCAGTGTTTAAACACGTCCATCCTCGGGGTGGCGAAGACCATGTTGAAGTAGCCCCCTGTTGTCTCGGGCGTGCAGTAGGATTTCTGATATTGGTTTCATAGCATTTGGCCCAGCTATAACTACTATGAATGATCGAGTCAGTTTTATAAGTGACACCTTCAAAAACATAATCGTTCATTTATTTCCAAATTAGCCAAATGAGGGCAGTAAAAAGAGAGGACCAAGAGGGATCACCATCATATAAGGTACGATGCATGAGGATGTTTTGCGTAATCCATGAATGAAGGTTAGTCCCGAAAAAGCTTGAGCAGGCAGATTGGGGCACAACGCGCAACCACATGCGTCGGCTTGGTGGGCAGCCACGTAGCACATGAATTACAGTTTCAGTTGTTGCACCACAAGTCAGACAGGAATAGTTATTTGTGAGCAGTCGTCTTCCTCGCTCATAATTCGTCATGATTTTTTCTTTATAGGCGAGCCATATAAACATGCGAACTCGTTGAGGAGCAGTGATGGACCAAATTACCTTCCAAATAGAGCTTTTTTCATTCCAGTTATCTTCCATGAGAAAAGTATAAGCTGACTTAATTGTAAAGTTAAGTTCAGGAGTCCATCTCCAGATCAGTGCATCGGGTTTATCGTTTCTATCTGGGGGTCGGACATTGATGACGTGAGGTATGGTATCTGGAATAAGAACTTGAGATAGAGCTGCAATGTCCCAATGGCCATGAACATAAACGAAGTTGTGAATTTTCTGGGTTAAATCAGCATGTATATCATCTCGGGCATAGTCTCGTAAAGGCCCCAAGCTCGGCACCCAATTATCATTCCAGAAAGTTATAGAGTTCCCATTACCCACTGAACAAACCAAACATGAGAGTAATTGTCTCCATACTTTCGATATTCCTCTCCATAATGGGGAGCAGTTGTGTTTTTCAATTGATATAGGGTGAGCTTCCTAGATTTTATATTTTTGTCTGAGTAATTGGACCCAGTAAGAGTTTGTCTTCACCATAAGGGAATAGCCAAGCTTCATCATGAAAGCTTTGTTTTGCTCAAGAGGCCGAATAAACCCCAAACCTCCTCGATCAATTGGATTACAAACGGTAGTCCAGTTAACTAGAGAGATCTTCCTGCCAGATGGTTCCGACCCCCAAATAAAACATCTTGCCAAATTTTTTATCTCATTACAGACTCGTTTAGGGAATGGCATGACTTGCATAAAATAATTCAGAATGGCTGAAAGGACTGATTTTGTCAGAGTAATACGCCCTGCAAGCGATAGGGATCGAGCAGCCCATCCATTTAGTTTACTTCTGAACTTGTCAAAGATGAAATCAAAATCAGCAATTTTCATACGTCTGTGGAGGACCGGAACTCCAAGATACTTCCCCGTAGATTCAACTTCTTGGAAACCAAGACATGATAGAATAGAAGATTTCGTGGATATGGTGGTATTAGGCGAGAAGTATATATGCGTCTTTCGTTTACTAACTTTGTGACCCGAGAAATACCCAAATTCCTTGAGGGTTTTCTCAATGATTTCCTCATGGTGAAGGTCAGCCTTTGCATATAACATAAGATCATCAGCAAATAATAAATAACTGGTGGAGAGACCCTGCCGGGAAAAGGAATAACCCTTCCAATCACCTTCTTCAACACATTTACGGATGCTATGGCCAAGACGTTCTATTGCAAGAACAAAGAGGTATGGGGAAAGTGGGTCACCTTGTTGGATACCCCGTTCTGGTTGGAACGCAGAAGAGTTCTCACCATTCCATTAGATTTGCATAGAGGTCGAAGTGATACAATGCATTATGAGTCGGATAGTGCATGGTGGGAAGCCAGCTTCAGTGAGCGAGTCTTGAATGAACTCCCATCGGAGGCGATCGAAAGCTTTTTCAAGATCTACCTTAATTGCCATCCAACCTTGCTTTGTCTTGAGTTGGCGCATGGAATGGATTACCTCCTGATTTATAATGATGTTTTCGGTGATAGAGCGGCCAGCGACGAAGCTTGTTTGATTCAGCATGATCAGAATAGGCATCACTTGTTTTATGCGACGAACAATAATTTTTGTGATGAGTTTGTACATAAATGTGCATAAGTTGATAGGATGGAAGTCCGCAAAAGTTTTAGGTCCTTCTTTTTTTGGGATTAGAACAAGCACAGTTTTGTTTAGGTTCGCTTCAATGTCACCTCCTACAAAAACATTTTTCACCATGCTGCAGACAGATTGACCCACCACGTGCCACTGTTGTTGGAAAAATTCTGCATGGAGGCCATCATGCCCCGGTGCTTTTAGGGGAGCCATATCCTTAAGAGCTTCATAGATTTCCTTATCATCGGGTTCAATGGACATGGAATCCTTTAAATAAGACGGAATATCCGGGAAGTAACCTGAAATAGGAGAATTCCCTACCACGTCCTCATCGCATGCATAGATATTCTTGAAAAAAATTAACCGCTTCTTCATTAAGTTTATTTGTGTCAAAGCACCAATCATTTGGAGGAAGTTTAAGGGCCAAGATTCAGTTTTTCTGCTTTCACTGCAATACACTTCTATGGAAGTATTTTGTGTTTCGATCACCTTGGGTAGCCCAATTTATTCTTGAGCGTTGTTTCCATAGAATTTCCTCTTGGTCTAAGAGCTGCTCTAACTCGGTGAGGAGTTCGGTTTCAAGATTGATAAGGAAAGCCGAATGACGTCTATTGAGGCTTTTGTGTATTCCTCGAAGTCTTGCCATAACTATCTTCTTTTTTGTGCCAATATAACCAAACACCGTTTTATTCCATGTATCAGCTGCATTAGTAAAAAAGAAAATAGTGTCTGAAAGAGACTTAGAGTTTACCCAGTTATCCTTCACCATTCGGTTGAAATCATCATGTTGTAACCAGCCAGAGAAATATCTGAATTGAGGCTGGCGAAGGTTAGTTGTAGAGCTGCCAACACAGATGAGAATTGGTCTGTGGTCAGACCGCATGCAATAAAGATGATGTATGGCTGTTTCAGGATACAATTCGTCCCATTTGCTATTATATAAAGCTCTGTCAAGACGAGCGTAAGAGAGACCCTGGTTCCACGTGAATTCAGGACCTTGGAATCCCATGTCACGGATGCCGAAATCATAAACAAAATCCTGAAATGTTTACAAGGCCGAGTAGAAATTGCACTATTCATCTGATCCGAAGCAGTGAGTGTTGAATTAAAATCTCCAATCATGATCCAAGGGGAGATAGTATTTCCAGCGAGGGATCGAAGGTGAGGCCATAGTTGTTTTTGCTTTGTAGCATTCGGACTGGCATAAATAATGGTTGCCAAAGTCGAGAACTTACCACAGGTGGTAGCTATACGGCAGTGGATAAACTGCAGATGATTGGGGAGTATTTTGACATGGATGTTTCCGCGCCAGCATAACCATATGCCTCCTGAAAACCCTACAGCTTCAATGCGGTGAGAGTGATCAAAACCAGTGGCGGAGATGAAAGCATCAGCTCTACCTCCACTTATCCAAGGTTCAAGGATTGCTACTAAATTCGGTTTAAAGTCTCGTAAATATTGTCGAAAAGCCGTGAGAAAACGCGGGTGACCACATCCCTGTACATTCCAACATATTATTTTAACATCCATAAATAAAGATAAGTATAGAAACCAAATCATTCCAGCATGGGAACCGTTTGGCTGTCATTGCAATTATTCAGCATGGCATCATCTCGTTGAGTAGGACTAGTAGCATCGGCTTCTGTTCTTTTAGAAAATGCTTCACTCGATTGAATTTGGCTTATATCGGGTGGTTCTCCTGGTATGGATTTGTGTTGGGTGGTTCCGCGTAGGGCTTGCAAGTTCATGTCATCAATAATGTTTGGATTTGTGTTTTCTGCTAGAACGATGGCTGAATGTTTCGACCTGTCCAGTATTGTAACACGTGGTTCAACATTGATTTGGCGGGATAGGTTGCTAGATTGACCCTGACTTCCTTTCGAAGATCTAGCAGTGATCTTGGGGATCATTAGTGGTTTACGGGCAAGAGCGGTCAACTTGTTTTTAGTAATATGTTGTCTGTTGGAGTTGATTTTGCTGGATTATGCGTGATTAGCTGAAGAAAGAGCATTAGTCACATTGGAAACATGAGAGACATTCGGGCCATGAGAAGCATGATGAGCACGAGGAGTCTGAGCAACATTTGGCGTGTGAGTAACTTTGCTGGTATATGTAGCTTGGTTATCAAATGCAACAGCAGTAACATCATCGACTGATTCATAAAGAGGATTAAAACGCGAGCCATTATTCTTAGATGTTGTCCTTTATCCGCTGGAGGTTTTTTTTACTGTTTTTCCGTTGCCTTCGCTCAACAACCATCCATGGTCCAAATGGTTCAGAGTTTTGGTTGGTAATCGATAAATGTGGTTCGCTTATTTGCTCCTTTTGGTAATTTGAGTCCAGCTTGTCGACAATAATTTTATCTGGGCAGATATCCTTTACATGTCCATACCGACCACATGAGAAGCATATTGTAGGCAGTGATTCGTATTCAACAATCTGAACACGCCCATTGATTAAAAGCTTCGAGGTTAGCGGTTTTTTCAGGTCCACACTTACCGCCATTCTTGCGAATCGTCCTCGACGATCAGTTTCCGTTTTATAATCAATTTTAACAACCTTCCCAATGCATTCACCAATATTAGTAATAAGGCTGCGTTTATAGAGGGTTGCCGATAATCCCGGAAGACGAATCCATGCCACAATTCTGCTAGGAAACAATTGTGAGGAGGTGAAATCCGGCGACCATGGTTCAACGGTTAGGTAATGTCCAAAAATTGTCCATGGGCCATCGGAAAGGGCAGCCAATAAATCTGAGCGTGTTCGTAGCGAAACGAGGAAGTAGTCGTTTTCTATGTCCATGAGACGAAAAGGCTAAGACGGCTTCCATAGATCATAAAGTTTATTTCGAAGAGTTGTGTAGCCAATACGCCTCCCCAGTAGCTTTACCACAACGGTCTGATCAAAGCTTTTATTGGCAATGGCTTGGATCCGATCAGAGAAATCGATGGAGATTAAACCATTAACGACACCACGGACTACATCATCCTCAAAGACTTCGACATCTTCCTCGTGCAGGATTTCATCATCGATCAATGGTTCTTTAGGATTATCTTTAAGGAGAGTGTCGCGGTAAGAGATTGGAGCGGGTGGGATCACTGGATTCGTATCGCTGACCACTTCGACATCCATGTTGCTTGGAGCGCCGCCGCCTGTGTCTGGTGGTTCCTCATCAAGTCGGCGTGCTTTCTTTGTGGAACGGTTGTCTTGCGCTAGGTTTTCTTTCATTAGCCGTCGCCTTGGTTGTAAGCTAATATATTTTTCCTCTCTTTTAATAAAAAGAAAGAGGCTTGATAAAAAAATTCCAAACTGTACCTTTTTTCATGGGTATAATGCCAAAATTAGTTCCTAACATTTTTTAAAATGATCATTTTTTCTCTCTTTTAATAAAAAGAAAGAGGCTTGATAATTTTTTTCCCAAACTATACCTTTTTTTTTTGAAGCATTTTGGCCTCCAACTTTTCATTTTAGAGTAAAATTGTCCCTAACATTTGACAGAATAATCACTTTGTCAACGTTTGATTTTAGGTAAGACTCCTATTTTGGAGTGCTAATTAATTGTGTCTTAACTAATGATTTTCATCTATAAAGGGAGCTTTTTGTCCCAAAGTGAAACAAGGGGGCTAAAATGCTAAAAAAAAGCTAAAATGCTAAAAAAAGCTAAAATGACCATTTTGGTTAACATTGGGGCTGTTTTTGGCATTATGCATTTCCATTTAGATGCCTAAACTTTTTTTCGGTCAATCTAGGTGCCTAATGTTACCATTTTAAATGCCCCAATCATAACGACCATTAAAAAACTCTGTTAAATTACACGTGTTGTATTTATATAATTTTGAAAGTTTTATTTTAAATAAAAAGCTTAAAATTATTTTTTTTAAAACCTTAATTTTTTTAAACCTTAAAAACCCCAAAAACTTTAATTTCAATCATATATCCACGTCGACCGCTGCATTTTATTATTATCGTCGTTGACTAAACCTCCATCGACGATGCAGTCACCCAAAGAACCCCAACCAACTATTTAAATCCAATCCTTAAATCTATAAACACTAATTTTTTAAATCCCTCAATTATTATATTATATGCTTATTACTTACCAATTTTTGGTGAACGATGGTTTTAATGGCTTTTGAGGGGTTCAAGTATGTGGGGTTTCAGGGAGGGAGAGGGGCGAAGGGTAGGAGGTGAATGGACGAAGGGTTGGGGAGTTTTTTTTCTAAAAAATAAAATAATAATAATAATTTTATTTTTAATAATAAATTTTTTAAAATATAAATACGACACATGTTACTAATAATATTTATAACGTTAAACATTTATTTTGATAAAAAATAATTTATAATTTAATTTTTTTATGTTAAACCAAAGAAAAACCACTTAATATTAAAAAAAGAAAATGGAAAAAGAAAGACCACTTGCGACTTTTTCATTAAGAGGTCGACCTAATCATCTATGACTTTTCATTTTTTTTTTCTCTCAAAACATTGTAATTTTTTTATTTAAATTTTATTAAATAAAAACTTTATGTTAAATAAAATAATAATAATTAGGCATATTTGTTGGTCCACGCCGGGGACGGCAGACATGGACATTATATATTTGCTGTGTTGGATTGGTTTCAACGGAATTATTTAGGAATGACAGAACGATCCGAATTTGACGGGAAAACTTGAAATCCGACTAAGTTCGGGTTGGGTCGGGTTTGAATAATATCAGGTCGGGTATCGGGATAAAATTCGGAGAATTTTTTGGGTTCGGGGTAAGGTATCTCCGTCTCGCCCCGATTATATATATATAATGTTTTATATTAATTATATAATACAAATCCTAAACCCTAAACATTTAAACCCTAAACCCTAGTTTTTATAATTATTAAAGTAAAATTTAGTTGATTTATTGATAAATTTCTCAATGTAGGGAGCTACCAAAGAAAGTGACAAAAGTGGCACGATGATTTTGGATGATTTTATTTGACTTAATATTACGTATGCATCTTCGTTGTATGATTTGAATATTGGAACATGTTTGTATTTAATTATGTATGTGTTTTATTTTGGAGTTTAGACAATTATTTAGAATTGGGTTTGAATTTGTGTATGTAGTTTGAATTGTAAATCATATAGACTAATTTTCTAGTTTTTGCGATCATTTTTTCTATTTTTTATGAAAACTATCGATTTTTCTCGAGATCGGGTATAACATTTCGGGTCGGGTTCGGGGACGGGGAAAACAAATCCTCGACAGTACGCCTCGATAAAAAACCCGACGAAGAACGAGGCGGGGACGGAGACGGGGGAGCAAAACCCGCCCCGTTGCGATTCCTAGAATTATTGTTTTGTTATATAATTATATAATTTGAAACTTTTAAGTTTTATATATTTTTAGTTTGTTAGATTAATAGAATAACATTAATTTCGGATCATTATATCAATAGAATTTAATAGGTAAAATTAAAACATTTAAATGGAGGACAATCCATTTTTTCTTTTACTTTTAAAATTCTCATCATCTCTGTTAATTTCAATCATTGATTTCTATTAATCTAATAATCCTATATTAATGCAAAACAAAATAATTTTACAATGTGTCACTATATTCCATCTTTATATATAATTAAATAGTAGTACTAATTATTTACACACTCATAATTTAGCGTTAGAGGTTTACTTGGGCATTTGCCAATGTTGGATTTCTCTTTAATTTAATGGAAAGTTGACGTGGCCAGCTAAGAGTTGAAAACAATCATTGCATATTTGGTAATGGAATCAAAATTTGAGATATTAATAATTAAATGTCGACAAAGTATTCATTCCAGATGAGATATCAAATTGATTTAAGGGATTAAGTTGAACTAAAAATAAAATATTTTAAAAATTGGTTTAAAACCTATAACAAAAATATGTTAGAACCATGCATGCTTACATATGCAAAAGATTCACCCACCAATAAAACACCACATAAATTACAAAAGCAAAATAATTAATAATTGAGGCATGGGATATGGCCTATCAACCAAGATAATGTTCTTTTCCATGGACATTTCAATTTCAAAAGCACTTTTTCTACAACTTTCAGCAAATTTCCAACCAATACACTTCAAAAGTAAAATAACACCTTTTATTTTTTTTTATATAAAATACATAAATGTTATCTCGAGTCAATTAATTATTAAAAGTTACAAAATATTTGAATATATGTTATTGCTTTGTTGAGTCTTCTAACTATACAAAGTTACAAAATAATCACCTGACTATTAATATATTTCAAACTCGTCATTTTTCCGTTAAAAATTGACGGTCGTTTGAGTTGGATGTTAACATGATGATTGAGATATTATAAAAATTTAATCCCAGAATTTCAAACGACTATATAATTCAAACTGTTCTAAGATAAGATTGTATCATATCTCATTCAGTAGGTTAACGTCTAGTTTAAATGACCCTCTAATTTTCAACGAAAAAGGAAGAGTTTAGAATATATGAATAGTCGGGTGATCATTTTGTAACTTTTAATAGTCGAGGGACTTAACAGAACAACATAATATAGTCAGGATATTATTTTTTAACTTTTAATAGTTGAGTGACTCATAAAGTAACATCCTATAAACGAAGATCATTTGTATGTTTTTATAATTGAAATTCATAGTCAGTGTAAGAGATATTCATGTGACACCAAATGATGGGACCTCACCCAAGTAGCCAATAATAAGTTCAAATTTAACTTAACCCCTTCAAGAATCTCTAAAATTTTAATTTATAAAAAATAAATTTAAATATTTGCATTTCATTTTTCGTCTAACAGTTATGATCTAAAAATAATAGTCAACTATGACTATGTTATTACTACAGATCATAAATGAGTATTATTTGATATTTATCCAAAAAGTATTGTTTGGTACATTAATGATAAAGTTCTTTATAAATATTTTTAATATATTTTTATGTATCATGAGTATGATTTATTTAAAATAAATAATTCAGGATATATCGGTTTATCAAGATCGTTTGTGAAAAATACGTTGCTATCCATATATGAAGTAATTATACTATAAAAATGACAAATATATTTAATTTTCCAAGGAGAAGAAGATTCTCCGTGCTTAACTATGAAGATTGATTTAAGGGGTAATCAGTTTGGTATCGTTTAAATATGTTTTGAATTTGAAATCTTGTGTGCGTAGAAAATTCTCGGTGAGATACTCACTCACCAAAATCAAGTGTGTAACACGGGTCGATTCGGATTAGTAAGGGTAAAGCCCTAGGGAACTGAGAGGGCAACCAAAAAAATAATACAAGTGTCTAGGTTTAAAAATTATTTTTTTAGTAGTGTGAGACAATATAGTATTTGTTCAGAATTTTCTTAATCTATTAACAACACACATTCTACAAATATAATTACTCTAACCCAAAATTTCTAAAAATAACGACTATCCTTTTACCATCATCAAAACAGCCGATGTTGAACCCTTTGTTTGACATTACAAAAATCTTATTTCGTCCTTAACTCATTGTTTGAAGTAGGTATATCAATCAATGAAGGCATATAAAAAGGATCTTATATAAGTTAAAAAGTAATAAGAAAGGTTTTTTTTTAAAAAAATTAAGAGCTGAAATTCTTATTTTATCCCATTCAAAAAATATTCTATATTTTATTTTTCGTTCTTTCATTAAACACTAACTTGTTTTCCATTTTAATTTTAATATTATTAGATGAGTACAAGTTTATATTGTGCAAACAAATTACTTGTGAGAATTCCTCATTGTTTGCTAATTATATTTTATTTTTGTATAAAAAATATACTTAAAATTTGAGTATAAATCTTGAAAGATATTGTAAAATCAATAAACACATACGGTTGTTTGAAATCGGAAACTTTATGGAATTCTTTATTTTTGCCAACTGATCACAACCTAATGTGAGCTGTGAAGAATTAGTCCCAAAGTTATAATTTACACAAGGTATGGAACCCACAAGACAACTAAACACTCGGCCTTCAGACAAAAAGGAAACTGTTAAAAAGGTTTGTCAGAGAAACAAGAGTCTTTTAAATGATCTTTAATCAAACGACATGTTTTAGGAAATTTCTACAGTTCTGTGTATTAGCCATGTGAGTGACAAATCAGTAGGCCAATTACATGTATGGCCAACTCAGCATGATTATTAGCATATACCAACTGGTATTTGTCTGCTTATCTGCCTGCTTTGAGCAACATCTCTGGCATCTTTGATCAACATACACTTCCATCAAAAGCTGTGAAAGTTTTCAAAAGAATCATAGTTTGGTTTAGTACTCTCAGATTCGGGTTCCGATTCAGATTCGAGTACCTTTTTGTTCTCCATGAAAAGATGGCAACTGAAGCAGAAATCATCCCGGAGCCTATTTCTGTACTGGTGAAAAATTCTTTCCTTTATTTCATATTGTTTTGCTTTGTGTTTCTGTTTCTGCATGGTTAGCAAATACCATATGGTGTTTTTCTACAAGGATTCTGCAATTTCAGACCAGTAAAACCAGACAGGTGACTTTAGTTAGCACTTTGCAACAGTTTTGATGTCCTTGAAACACTTCAAACATGATGGTCTTTGAGTTTAAATTGACATAAAAGCCTAAAACAAAAGGTGATCTGGTCTTTACTCACTTTTTTTTTTTGATCCGTAAGGAATAATAAATAACCGGATTCGTGAGACTTGTCTATTGTGCTTGACTGAAACTTCTGTCACTTTAATGGATTCGAGATCTAGTTTTTAACTTTCCGAAACTAAACGTACGTTAATACTGATAACTTTAAGATTCTTAGACAAAATCAGTAGAAAATTCAGATTAATACTTTGATGATTACCTTGATCAGCATTACATAATTGTTAAGTTGATTGCATATTGAACTTGAATATGGTAGATTTGGATATTAAGAATCTGATTCTGATATGACTATCCGACAGCTGAATTACCTTAAACTCGTCATTCTTTGGTAAATTTTATTACAGGAAGTAAAACAGTGAGCTGCATAAGCACTTGATTTATGGCATAGATGTCTCTGTGTTGCAGAAATAAAGATTTGTTCATACTGGAAAGGAAAAAAAGTGTAGAAATGGAAACAAAAATACGAAATTTAATTTTGTTACCAAAGAAGCCTATTTTACCAGGAAATAAAATGATGGTTTTTCCAATGATATGAAATTGAAAACAAAAATTTATAAACTTTATTATCTATGCAGAAAACAGAAGAGGAGATTAGCAAACCAAGTTTGGATTTGAAGAAATCTGAAGCTGGCCTCGCCCTGCCTGCCGGAACCTATGAAAGTTTGGATAAATCCGAAAATATCGAGTTAGCCACTAATAATGTGGTTGAAACCTTGAATACTGTCTCTCAAGCAAATCCAGAGAAACCTGGGAATATTGAAGTAGAAATGAGCCAAAATGCTGAGATTGAGTCCAATAAACAAGAGGAAAACTTAGAGCTCAAGAAACAAGCTTTGATCCGTAATCCAGATCTGATAATGGACAGCTCGAACGAGGCTAATGAAATTGTTACCAAAGCTGATCCTTCCAACATTATTCAAGTGGAACTTGAAGAAAAAAGCATTGAAGAAAAGAAAGACACAGAACCAGAGAAGGTGCCTGCTGCCGTGGAAAAGGGAGAGGGCACTGAAGCAACTGATCCGGCTGAAACATCGGTAAGTGAAAAGGACCAAATCATTCCCGATAGCAACGGAGACACCTTAACCTCAAAAGTAGCAGAAACTACTGAGATCAGGGACCATGAAACAATCTCGGAAGTCAGTGAAGTTTCCGGGAAAGAGCTGCAAAATGACAATCCATACAAGGAGGCTGCTCAAGTGGGTGAGAAACCTGAAGAGGTAAGCCAAGCTACAATGGAATCAAGTGAAAGTTCCATTTTTGAAGATTATTCGAATTCGGAATCGGAAAACCTTACTGTGATCTATTCATGTTTATGCTTTATCCCGGTCAGTCAGGTTGAAAATTTGTTCTGTCATGCAGACGAGTAAAGAACCAGAAATTGAGGAACATCCTGAAGTTGACATCTCGAGCTCATCGGTTAGTGATGAAACCGTGAAGGAAAGCGTAAAGGAATATGAAAGCATCCCATTGAAGTCAACAGAAAAGGTCATCTAATAAAAGAACGCCGATTTGGATCGGAAAAATGTGTTCCTTTTTACCATTCTTTTTTCCTGACTTACAGGTTCAATGTTTTGCAGGCTGACTCTTCAACTGCGCTTGAGGACTCAACAAGGGATACCAAAGAGAAAACATTAGTAGAAGGAAGCATCAATACTGCTGAACCAGAATCTGCACCGGTTGTGCCAGAAACAGAAGAGAAAAAGAAGGAAACAGATAATGCTGTTCCCACTGAAGAAAACAATCTAGCAATGACCGGACATCAAGTGGCCGGCGTAGATGGTTTGGACATTGATGTGGAACCGGCAGATTCCCAAACTCGTCTCCCACATGCAACAGATGAGACACTAATGGAAAAGGAGGATAATCCAACTTTAGATGTTCCAAACATAGAGGCCAAAGAGACAGGACCGGAACACTTGCCCAAGGAATCATACCTGCATAGAGAACAAGAGAATGGAAAATGCAAACTTGTAGCAGAAACATTGAAAGATGAACAATCATCGGATTTAGGATTTCTGAAAGAGAAGATCGAAGACGGAAAACAATTGGATGAAGCCATGGGTTTGGAAGACACCTCGGGTATATGCGAAGATGTCGAAAAGGTTATCCAAGCAGAAGATGATTTAGCTAAGAACTTGGCAGAACAAGAAACTGAAGTGCCAAAAGGAGCTACTGAGCAGATTTCCGAGGTCAAAAACATGAATGTAAATGAAGAAAAAAGTAAGGAAACCATCCCTGAACTGAGAAAGAGCCAAGCTGATGAAACAATCCCCGATGTTCAAAACCAAGAAAGTGAACAGAATATAAATGAGGAACCGGAAGACAAACTGGAGGATGAACAAAAAGCAAACGAGGTGAGCAAGGATGTCATCTTGTCCAAAGAGGTAAATAACATGTTTTTATCCCAAAGATGTTGATAAATTTTGTTTCAAATTTTGTAACATTTTCTTTTTATTGATAGGTGGAAGATTACACTTCAGTCTCAAACGAATGTATGAAGGAAAGAGACTCTAAGGAACAGGTACAAGCGAAAAACTTGGAGGTTAAAGAACATTCAACCATGGAGCGAGAAGCATCACTCATCGTAGAATCGGCAGAAAGGAAACAGGTACAAGAGTCTGGAAACCATGAAAGTGTCCCCATTGAAGTTGGGGAATTGGAAGAAAAAGTTAAGGACATTGTCCATGAATCAAAGCAGCATTCTCAAGAAAAGAGTGATGAAACCGTGACAAAAGTTGGAGCTGAGACAAGTTTAGGCAACACTGAGATGAATGAGGAGCTTGTGAATTATAGCTTGGTCGAGATGAGCAAAGAAAGTATTGAAAGTGATGCTAATCAAGAGAATAAACAAGTTGAGAATCCACAACAAGAGTTGGAGAAAACAGAACAAGCATTGGAACCCAAAGTGAATGAAGCTGAACAAACCAAAGCTGTGCCTGAAACATCATCCGAATACCCATCTGAAAGCATTCCAACTTCTGCTGCAACTTTGCCTTCCAAGGATGAAGAAATCGAAACCGCACACTTGAATGAGAAGATGGGAGAAGAGATACATAAGGATGCTGAAATAGTTAAACATGAAAGAACAATAGAAGAAGTATGCTTGCAAAAGGAAGGAGAAAGCGAGCCTATGGCTATATCGGTAGAAAAAACCATTGTTGACGAGGGTCTTCAAAACAAGGAACCAGAAGATCAAATTCAGACAAGTTCGACATCACCTTCTAAGGATGACTTATCTGATGCCAAGCAAACAGCAGTGATATGCTTGGAAAAAGAAGAGGATGAAGATGATAAGAAAGATGAAACATGTGTTGGTCTGGCCATCGAAGTGGAGGAACCAAAGGATCAAGCTTCAGCTTCAGCATTAACTGAAGATATTGTGGATCAAGCTCAAGATTCATTAGCTGAGGAATCAAGGGAGATTGAAACCTCTGCATTGCCTTCTGAGAAAAATGAAACAATGGAATCTGAACCGCAAAAAGATGAGAGTCCACCAAAGATCCAAGAACAAACAACAGAGGTCGAAGAATCCTCAAATACTGAAGTTGAGACAAGTGAAAAGGCTTTTGACAATGAATCGATCAAAGAGAAACTTGTCAAAGCAAGTTCTGGAGAAAATAAGAGTGACAATAAAAATGAAACCATAGTGAATGAAGTTTCAAAGGAAGAGGTAAGCAATCAAATGCAGTTCTAGCTTGAAATCTTGATGGTTTGATGTATTTCCTTTTTCCTTTTTGATTTGGGTTTTCTGCAAAATGGCAGCTCTTGGAGGTCAAGGAAGTTACTGAAACATCTAATTTGATTTCCGAACTGGAAGAGCCGGCGAAAGATGGCTATGGAGAAAATGCTCCCAAGGATAAACTGACTGAGGACAAGGCATTGGAAACAACTCAAACAGAAGAGGTCAGAAACTCAACTTTGTTCATCTTATTCGTTTCTTGATTCTCTATATGTCTATATTGAAGCTTTTGATCTGTAATAGGACATTGTGGAAACTCAAAAGATCAATGAAAATGAGATAATCGAAAAGCAGATTGTTTGTGAAGATAAAACTGCTGAAAATCCAAGAGCAGCTTCATCGGTAATGGCAACAGAAGAGGTTAGATTACATATAATTCTCCTTCCAAATTTTTTCCTTAAATGATGTTTCCAATATCTAGCATTCACACTTGAGTCCGAGTAATTTAAACTGAAATATGTAATCAAACTCAGTAGCTCTATGTTTCATCTTTTATCAGGAATCAAGCTTAGAATTATCGCAGTCAGGTCCAGACGGCGCCAAGGGTTCAGATAATCAGATTTCCAGTGAATTAGAACCTATTGAAAACACAGAGATAACAATTTCAATAGTTAAAGAACATGCTCCAATAGATTTGCAGGACAAAGTTGCAGAATCCTCAGAGAAAGCTGAAGTTGAAGATGCCAAAGAGGTTTATCCAAAGGAAGCATATGTTGGCCATGATGTAGACAAACTAACAGACTCTTCCGGCGAAAAGATAACCGAGGAGTTAACGTCGGTGGAGGATTTGACTAAGGTATCTCATGCATATCTGGACATGGGTTTTGGGAGATGATCCTACACTCATACCCGAATCTGATTTACATAGACTAATTCAAAAGTTAATAGTTCACTTGCATTCTTTATTTTCTCTTATTTTGCTATAATCATGTATTTATGAACTCTGCAACTGTTAATGGTGGAAAATAAACATGACAGATTAAGGAGCTAAAAGATGAACATACAGCAGATAAGACGAATGAAACCTTGAAAATCCCAGCATCTGAAAATGAAAAGGTCAGTATGGAGGCACTCATCTTTGTTCCTCTTGTTCTTCTCTTGCTTCAATCTTAATGATATTCAATCTTAATCTTAAAAACAACTCACTGTGCAAACTCTGAAGGATGGTGCAAATAACAATGTTGAGAAAGAGACTGTAGCAGAAGATCACACTTTCAAGGATCAAAAACAAGCTCAAGTTAATGTGAAAGAAGCCACAACTGTAAGTGAAAAAATACATTAAAAACTTCAAAATGAATATATCAGTGTCAGGTACAAATACCTTTGTTTGATGCTCGTAACCAAATCCAAATAATGCGGGATATAAAAATAGTTTCAGGTCCAGTAATGGGGTTAAATATCATAAGCTAAAATGTAACAGCAAAAACGAATCAAAAAATTTTGAGTCAAGCTTAGACATATGAGAGACTAATGTAAATTTTAACAAACAGGTTCCAGAAGAATCCATGGAGAAACCTGAAGCAAGAGAGATGCAACCTGGAGAAGCTAAAGAGATTTCTCATGGAGAAGAGAAAACAGATACTTCAGTTGCAGAAATAAACGTGGAACATGCATCAGCTAGTTCGGGCAATTTATCATTGTCTGATCTACTCCAAAGATCTGCTGAAGAGAAAATAGAGGTGGCTGAAAGTGTGATTGAAGAGAGGGAACTAACAGTAAGAAAGGAAGAAGCACATGTGGAAGTTGCAGAAACCATTCCAGCTAAAGAACCAAAAATAGATGGAGTACCTGGAGGAGACGAACTTAACAAGAACGACTCAGGCTCAGATGGCCCGGTGATAGTAGAAGCTCCAAGAGATGCTGAAACTAAACCACATAAGAAATCTCAAAACATACTATCAGGTGTTGGATCCAAAGTCAAGAATTCAATTTCCAAGGTAAAGAAAGCAATTACTGGTAAATCTTCTCATTCAAAAGAACCAAAAGCAATATCACCAAAGGGAAACGACAAATGAAGATGTTCCTCATTCTATGTTGGTACAGAATATCATATTTTTAGATGTTTTTTAAAGGGATGTTTTTTTCCAATAAAATATTTCATGATTTGTTAAGCTTGGTATGTCTTTGTGCAGAATGGGACAGCGGTTTTTGATTTTTGTATAAACATACTTGAACAAATACATGATTGTGAACTGGATTTTACAATATTGCAATCTTCTGAGCTTTGCTATGGTCACATATATAAAGATTTGTTTGTTTGTCATTTAGGTTTTAACAAGATCATCTTTCAAGATTCTTGCTTGCACTTCCCATTGAAATTTGCATTGAAACAGAACCAAATTAGAATACAGCTGTGGAATTAAACCATACTTAAACCCTGATAAAGCAAAGATCTTTTTACTTTCTTGCTTATAATTTCCACTGAAATTTGCAGAAAACAAGAAATTGTGATCAAGAACATACCATCTTTAACCAAAAACGAGATTCAGTACTCAAATTTTCACGGCATAATTCAGAATTATAATTGAATACAACTTCCATTGGAGTGGCATGTGAGGGCTTTATTCATCTCAAGTTCACCATTTCAATCATTATCAATCAAACAGCTAAATATTAGCTCAGAAGTTAATAGGAAATTCAAAGAAAAGAATCAACGTAATAAGCCATTAAATTTTTTTTTACCCCATATCAGATTCATTCAAAAGAAAGTACACATTAAAATTTGATCAATTTCAGTTACACTTAAACATTAATTAATATTGTTCCGGCAAAGAACACAATTAAAAACTACCCCAAAAAAATCCACGAAAACCCACCACTTAAAACCTTCTCCCTGGTCCACCACTGCGACCGAACCCGACTTGAGGGACCGGAACAGAAACTGGGTCAACCTTAACAATCCCAGGTATATCAGCCATTCCAAGAACGGAAAGCATATCAAGGGTTTCTTTATCAACTTCGATTTGGTCGATCTTGATGGCCGATTCATCGGGGACGAAATCCATTCGACGCTCGCGCTCTTCCTCTTGAAGCTTCAGAGAAATCCCACGAACCGGACCCTTCTGGATACGTTTCATAAGATGGGTGGAAAAACCGGCGATCTTGTTGCGGAGCCTCTTGGATGGTATAATAGCTACTTCTTCGATGATCTTCTTGTTGGTATGAAAATCAAGGGTCATACGAGAATAGTACCGCTCGATTACCTGACGGGACGATTTCTTCACTGTCTTGGTGCGAACACGGCCCATTGCTTGGATCGACGGCGGCTGAGGAGTGATTGGCCGTAGATTCGCAAGATTGAAATATAAGAAATGATAGGGTTAGGGTTTTTTTAAGTGGCTTTCCTTTCTAATATGAATGGATTAAATTTTGGGTTGGGTAACATGTTTTGGGCCTATATGAAACTAATGAAAATTGTTTAGCCTGAGCTTGGAAATGTATAAAATAAAATTTTTATATCTTTATTATTTTTTGAGTTAATTGCATTATATGTCCCTAAACTATGATCTACATTTTTAATTAGTCCCTAAACTTTAATATTCAAATTTCATCCTCAAACTATTATACTCAATTCTAAATTAGTCCTTAAAATTGTGAACATTCTGATTTCATCCTTAAACTATGACCCTCATTCTAAATTGGTCCCAAAACATTTAAATCTTTTAATTTTATCCCTATATTCATCCAAATATGTAATTAGTTTTAATCATAGTTTAGCCTAAATGTTATTTTTTTTCAAAAAAATATAATATATAGTTTGGCCTAACAATTTTATTAAAATGGAATGTGATTAGTATATACATATAATTTGAGATGAAATTGAAATGTTGAAAAGGTTTGAGGATAAATTTAGAATGATAATCATAATTTAGGGATGAAATTAGAACATTTAAAAGTTAAAGGATCCATTTAGAAAGATGATCATAGTTTGAAGGCATATGATGCAATTAACTCTTAATTTTTATGATAAAAAATAAGATTTTATTGCATCATATGTCCCCAAACTATAATCCTTATTTTAAATTGATCCTTAAACTTTTGAATATTCCAATTTTATCCTTAAACAATGAATCTCATTCTAAATTAGCCCTTAAACTTTGAACATTCTAATTTCATCTATAATTTATGATCATCTTTCTAAATTGATCCCTAAGCTTTTGAATCTTTTAATTTCATCCCTAAATTCATCGTAATATACAATTAGTTTCAACCATAGTTTAACCTAGATTTGTTTTTCTTTTCAAACATATAATAATATAACTTGACCTAATGATTTTATTAACAATGGATGTGATTAATATATACATATAGTTTTAAAATTAGAATGATAAAAAAGTTTGGGGACTAATTGAGAATAGAGGTCATAGTTTAGGGATGAAACTAAAGTGTTAAAAAATTTGAGGATTATTTTAGAATTATAGTCGTAGTTTAGAAATGAAATTAAAATATTTAAAAGTTTAGAGACCAATTAAAATGATGATAGATGCAATTAATAATGTAAAGATGAGAAAGTATAAGGTATATCCTTTCCATTATATCACCTATGATCCCTAAATAAAAGCATAATATCATGTAGAAATATTTTTACAAACCATTAAAACTCTTGCCAACTCGTTCTTAATCTTCATTCTAATTCACTACCTCTTTTCCTTATATAAGGTTTTTCAACGGTTAATTCAGTCACTAATCAAATCAAATTAATCGGATTTTTTCTTTAATTATTAATTGAATTAATTTTTTTTGAAAACAATTAATTGAGTCAAACAAAGTAAGGTTAATTCACTCGGTGGTCGAATTAATCAAATTTGTTTGTAAGATATTTTTTAGATTAATTTAAGTTTAATAGAGGTAATTTTTTCATTTTATTAATATTTGATTGGGTATTGAAAGTTTAGGTCTAGTTTGATTAAAAAATAGTTGGACATAATTCTTAACATGTTTAAACTTAAAATATATGTGTAATATATATGGGTTAGGATCCACCTATACAATATAAAACTCTTTACATAGATTTAGGATCATTGATTGAATGAAAATAGATGATTGAGATCAACTCTTTGTTTTTTCCCATTGAATTTCTTCTCATTTCCCACTGTTAATCTCAATCATATATTTTCACGATCCTAAATCTGTGTAAAACTAAAAGAGTTTTACATTGTGTAATAAGATCATATCCCAACATATATAATGTATTAAATATTTAATATTTTCGGTTAATTCGATTTATTAATTGATTTTGAACCAAATTAACCCATAACTGAATTTTAAAAATTTTCTTAATCGTTAATGGATCTAACATCTAATTAACTGAGTTATATTTTGATTTGATCGATTAATTTAATCAAAAATGGACAATGAACACCTTTTCCGATTACAATCCTTTTTGTTGAAAGAATATCTTCAGCATCAACTAAAACTGAAAAAATTATTTAAAACTTTCAAAGCCAAAACTCTCACTACTAACAAATGAAAGAACAAGAAAATTCAATTTTAAAAATCAGACAATGTTAGAATTAGAAAAGAAAAAACTAAGGCGAACTTATCTTGTTTGTTTGAAATCACAATGCTAAAATTGTAAAAACTAATCTGATGCGAAAAAGATCCTGAAATTACAAAACCTCTAATCAAAATCAGGCACAAGCATTTACTATTTGTTTAGCGAGAAGAAAGCGTTTGGTGTTAACTCTTTGGTTTAAACCAAACTGATCAATTGAATTGAATTAGTTTGATTAAATAGTGAGCCACCGAAATTAATTCGATTGGAGAATGGTTAATTTTCTTTAATATTCAGCTAACAGTTAATTCGATTCAAAATCGGTTAATTAATCGAATTAACTGAAAATATTAATAATTAATATATTATATATATTAAATACATATTTTAAGCTCAAATCCATTGAGAATTAAGAGTTAACCACTATGTAACAACCCTAAAATTGGTCTAGTAATTGTTCGACTTCCGATGATCAGAATTTATTTTTTCGTATTCAAAATTTATCCTTTGGACCATTAAGTATAATCTATGGATAATCCTTAAAGTAATTAGGTTAATTTTGAATTTTCATGAAAAAGGACCAAAATGCTAGAATTGAGATATTTATAACTTGGAATGTAAGTAAAAGATAAAGACCCATTCATTTGCATCTTTTTGTTCAAGGACTAAGGCCTTAATTTACCCAGATCCAAAAGATGATGATTCATCTCCTTAAGTGTCATTTGATGCTATTTTTGACTGAATTTTTTATTTAGAAAAATAGAAAATTATACATTTTGGGTGTGTTTCACGTGTAAGACATGGAGGAGAGAGAAAATTCTTTTACTTCGTGTTCTTCCTCACAATTTCCACCATTAAAGAATCACTTTAAACTTTTATATCTTTCCAAGACAAATCCTCTCAATCTAGCAATTAGAATTTAATTCCAATCACATATTTGGTAAGTTCTTGCTCTTATCTTTCATTTGGTACCAATTTTGTTAAGTTTAGAGTTTGTGTTCTTGAGCCATAAACCTCCAAATGAGGGTTTATTTAATTTAAAGATTTTTTTTTATAATTTAAGTGAATCTAAGTTTCATGGTAATTTTTCCATGATTTTTGGGCTTTGGAATCAAAGCCTAATTCATTAAAGTTAAGTTTCCCATGTCATTTTTTTATAAGTTTGATACTTTTTATTCTTGTCATTTGAATTGGTAGATCATATGTTTGTTTTCATGTATCCAAGAATTGATTGAAGGAACCTCCAATCAAAAAGGAAATAAAGGTCCCAGGTAGTGGAATTGGAATTCGGGACACTCCGTGAATTCAAAGTAATCGGTGAGCCTAGTTGCATTATGGGTGACTCGGTATCACTCTAAGTTAATTTCGATAACCATTCTAACTTTTGAATCCATATGGTAAGTTTTGGGCTAATAGAGAGCAATGAATGGCAATAAAAACATTAAGGTAAAGTATGATAAGTATATGGGAGTATTTCGTGGTATGTTTTGTGATGATATATGATGATATTTTAGTTGTTCTTTGACATGGATAATAAGCAAGCCTTAAAAATTGAAAATTTAACTTCTATGTAATTTGTAAGTATGAAATAAAGGAAAAATATGATACGAAAGCATGTTTAAAAGCAAGTTATATGTGTATACGAGCTAAGGCTCACTTGGTAAGCCAAGTTAAGATATGATTATGATAACTTAAAAATAAATAGTGCCTT